AAAAAAGAATCAGAAGCCTGAGATGTTCCTGGCCAGGTGACAGGTGGCTGGGTAGCAGTGGCAAGAAATGACTCCAAGATAGGAAAATCTCTTGCCTAGAGTTAAGTCCCAAGTCACTCAGACTGGAGATATCCTGGGTCTGGCTTAAACTATGCCTCTCTCCTAGATTAACTTGGATCCTTAAAAAAGACCTGCTAGGAGTCCACCTTCCATGCCCACACTCCCACCTCACTCCCACCCCAATACGAGCCATTAATCCAACACAATAGTGAGATTATCTAGCAAACATATGCCCTCAAATGGTATCTTAACCCAGGGTCTATGGTGTGATAAGTTATACCTCTGGTAGAAAAAAATAAAGGCATCAAGAAAGGCATAGAAATGCCAACCTGTCCTATGGCTCATGCAGAGGCAGATTTTGAGTTCCAGGGAGGTAGAACCAAAACCTAAAGACAACCCTGAAACATAAATCTTCCGGTAGCTAGAAGGCTTCCAATACCTCCAGCTGCCAAGGCCTTCGTGGGGGTCCTGCCTATAATGCAGGCTGTCTCTGGCCTCCCATCCCTGAGGGGCCAAAAACCCCACACACACCTGATGACATCCCCTAGGTGTACGCGAAGGTTATTCCGAACAACTCTATTCATTCGAATCTTCTCGTCAGAACATGTGTCATCAGAAAGCACAATGCACACAGCTTCCCGCCTCTTCTTTCCTTTCAGCAACACTGTGTCACCTCGGAACAACTGCAGCTCATCCATCTTGGGCTGAGGAAAGAAGGTTAAGGCCTTTGGGTCACTGGGCCAGGGGGTAAGCAGCAGCCCTGGAGGTTGGGATTCCCAGTAAACCCCACTCTATCTGGGATCACTGCAAGAAAAATGAGAAAAGAAACCTGGGAAAAGCCCTTAGGTTAAGTGCAATAAGGAAAGATTGGACTGTGGACCCAACTTACCTGGGACAAGGACACCACACTGTTGTCCTCATTGATGGCTTCATCAACAATTAACCGATTGGGACGGTTCTTCTGTTTAAGAATGGCTGTTGATAAGTCATCACCTTTTGAACTAGCAAGAGAAAACGAAGTCAGTCCCAATATGTAGTCTAGTCCCAGGGGCCCCACTAGTCTCTAGAACTCATACTTTGGAGAGAAATAGTGGATAAATGAAGTTGTCTCTCCACCAGAAGCTAAGATCAAGAAAATTCAGCCAAGGTCATGAACAATAATATCTAGCACACAATACAATTCCCATTCTAGCAGCTCTTGGTATTCGGAGCACTGATATCCTAGCTATAATGCCCCAAGTGATCTTGCCCCAGGGTCAGGAAACTATGGCCTGAGAAGACAAAACAGAAGTGGAGGCTGAGTAGCAATTAGAGAAGTGAAAAGAGTTTAGACTGTATAGAACAGTGATTAAGAGAAGGGACTCTGCAGTCAGACCTGCTAAGTCTGAATCCCAACCCTGCCAGTGTTTAACTGTAATCTTCTACGAGTTATTTAACCTCTCTGGAAGCTGATGTCCTCATCTGTAAAATGGGGAATACAGTAGCACCTATCTCAGAGGATTATTGTTTTAAGTGAGATAATAAACACAAAATGTTCAACACAATGCCTGGCACGTGGTGTTAACAGTCAATATGATTAGCACTGCAGAATAAAACACAAGCTCTTTCTTTGCTAACCTTCTTGCAGAAATGAAGGGAGCATGACAACTTCCCAAAGGGCTCAGGGAGGCCCCAAGTCCCACCAAGCAAGCCTGGGGACAATGAAGCAGAATCATTAGCACTACCCTCCTTACTGGCTAAACCTGCTGAATGTCAGAGCATTCTATGCACCACAGGAATGCCAAGCACAAAGACCATCAGATTTGAAGGAAAAAAAAACACTAACACATCTGGAATCTTCAGAAAGAGGCTCAAGCTCAAAAGGAGCTTCACAGTAATCTCCGCAAAGACACACAACTCCATGGAGTTGATGCAAAAAGTCAAAACCAACAAATGCTAAGACGTGGGGCAAATCCAAATCCTTCTTACCCAAATCAAGGTTAGGTGAATCTAAACTCAGTTTAAACTTTCAAACAGTTTCTATCATTTCCTAGAAGCTAAGATCACTCACCCGACACCAATTTCTTACCTAGCTCATTTCCAGCCTTTGCTAAACGCAGTGGGCTCTCCCTTTGAAGAGTTACCTCCTCTTAGTAAGGCTCAGGAAAACATGAGCATTAACCAAAACAGGGAGGCCAGATAATAGGAGGAAGCAAAGAATTAAATAAAAAGGAAACTTTTCCATGAATTATTTCTTCACTGAACAAATAAATGAGTATACATTATATGCCAGGCACAGTTCTAGGATTTGGGGATACATCGGTCAACAAAACAAAATAGTATTCCTACTGGAAATATCTTCACAACTTGCAAGAAAAAGGGAGGCCTATACTCTGTAATACCAGCTAGGGAGTTACGGGGTTTTTACATCTTTTGGTCCTGATACACCCAACAAAAATACAAATCCCATTCATCTAACATGGTTGTAAGTTTTCTGCTGACCCTCTCACATAGGCTGCATCTTTAATAATCGCCTTTAAACTAGTTTCCAAGAGTAGAGTTTACTCAGTTTAAACTTGCCTCCCCCAACCCAAAAGTGCGGCACTCTGGGCACAAGGCTACAGAGCAGGCAGAGTCTCCCAATGCTTATCAACACCCTGGAGGGCAAGCATGGTCAATGTGACAGCTGAGGGCAATTTAAAACCATCAATTCTCCCTCTCCCACAAGCATCAAAATACCCTCTAAGAGCTGTCCATCTTCCCATTTTATCTATAGGACTGGGGCTAAACAAAAATAAATACCATATGCCTCTAGACATCCTAGTTTGTATTTTAACCCCAGAGCCACATTCTAGGAAAGACTTCCAATCTGCCTACCATTCCTGACCCTGGCACTGGAGATGAGTGGTATGCTCCTCCCTTAAAGTAAAGACCTTTAATTCCACCTCTACTGAGATCAAGGGAAATAACCTCTAAAAGAGAGAATTCAGCCTGATTATGGGCCAACAGCAGTCCTGGAGACTCTTTGGGGACATCCTCCATCGTCTTCTGCATGAGTAAGACCCTTTCCAGAACCCCAAAGGACCACAGGGGACTTGGAGGGAGTTAAGCGTCACCAAGATGACCTAGAGATTAGAAACTGTCTATGATGCCAGATTCCAACAATTTTGGATTTTTATTTTTAGTCTTAAAAACAAAAGACTGACTGGATAACCTAAGAGAATATTTTAAACTTCAATAAACAATCCTTTTAAATAGGTGCCTGAGTAATACTTTATCTTGATTCAGAAACTTGAAAAAAAGGAACACACTTCAAAAAATTTAACTCTCAAGTCAGGAAGGTGATTTGCATAGAAAAGTTTCCATAGGATGGCTGTCCTTTTTTTTTTTTTCTTTTCAGTGTTTAAAGCTCTGGATTCTAAACTCAATGGACAGAGGTGACCAGGTTTTATCTGATGCTTTCCTGAAGGGTGGAAAGCCCAGGATTGCTCAACATAGCAGCTTGAGGAAAAGAGCGTGTGTGTGTTTGAAGAGTCAGGGCAACTTTAACCTTCACTCCACGAAGACTGAAATCTAAAAAGGCCCTCAAAATGCGAACTGAGATTCGAACTTTATCAGGAACCTAAAATAGTAGAGAAAGGACAAGTTCCTTTCTCCCTGCCCCCATTTCATAACATCAAGGGAAATTGAGTGAAGCCTTCTCATACGAACAGCAGGCCTTGAGCAGGAAGGCCAGAGCGAAGGCAGGCCCGCCCTCTCCCCAATAGCCCCCACTACTCAGGTCGAGGACGCCAGCCCCGGGCCAGGCCAACCGGCTTCACGAGGGCCGTCGTGACTCCCCCGAGTTCGCGGGCCGCCCCCGCCCCGGCCTCCGCCTCGATCTCCGGGCTCTGCGGCCTTCACGTGGCCCCGAGTCCACGCCCACCGGGCCCAGTCGGGGCGCCGGGCCCGGGCCCTGCTCTCCGGGGACCAGAGGCTTTCAGCGGGCGGCAGGCCGGACCGCGGGCGGCGTCCCCAGCCCCGGGGCCGCGCCGGCGGTGTGGGCCCGCCGACCTCGCTAGGCCGGACGCCCGTTCCCGAGGGCCGAGCGGGCCGAGCGGGCCTGCATGACACAGCACGATCACCCAGGTCCGACCCGGGCCCGGCGCAGCCCGCCTAGGGGGCGCGCGGGTGCGCAGCCGGCCCGGAGCTCGCTCGCCCTTTCCTCGCCTCCCCTCCTTCTCGGTCTCCACCTCCCGACGCGCCCACCGCCCGGCCGGGCCGACCCAGCCCGGCGGTCCCAGTGCGCCCCCGCGGGGCGGCGCGCACTCACTCCGCTCCGGAGGCCATGGCGCGCGCCTCTCCTCCGGCGGCTGTGGCGGCCCGCGGGTAACGGCTGGGAGGGGTGGCAGGCGGCCGACTGGGCCGGGCTCGGCTCTCCCGGGCGGGGGCGAACAGCAGCGACGAACCCGCGGCGGCCTCCCTCTCGCTTCCTCTCCGCTGCACCGGGGCGGCGGCGGGCGGGCGACGCTGGCTCCCGATCCGCGAAGGGCAGCGGCAGCGACAACTCCGACGACGGCAGCAGACGCTTCGTGAGACTGAGCCGAGAAGAGCCGAATCATCGGAAGGAGAGGGCTCTCACCTCAGCCAATCAGCGCCTGCCCTGGGGACTCCCGCCCGCCTCTCCGCGCCTCTCCCCAGCAACTCGCGCACCAGAGCCAATCAGGAAATTCGCTTGCGGCCGGGCTCCCGCCTCAGGGATGCCACACGCCTAGTAACGCCACGTCAATTGGCCGCAAGGCTGCGCTTCCTCGACGGATTGGGATTCTCGGCCAATCAACGAAACGAATCGGGCCAGATCGACTGGCGAAAGGAGAGCCTTTAATCCCCGGGAGGCGGACTCTCCCACTTGGCTCCAGCTCATTGGCTCCTGAGTTTATACTGCTGGAAAAACCTGGCACAATAGATTGAACTCTTGTGTTAGTCTAGTCCCGTCGTAGTGATAGCATACACACTCTTCTTCTTCCAAAACCTGAGGATCCACCCTAACCCCTCTCCTTGCTCCTTCAAAACGCTGGCTCCAGCCACCCCTCCTCTGGACGTTTTGACTAGCTCCCCAGCTCTTAATCCACTCTACCCTATTGTCATTGCACCCTCGGGTAAGCCTAATCCCATAAGCATTCAAGTTCCTCAGGGCTTGGAGGTACATGCTTCCTGTTACCACTGAGTATTAATACTAATGGCTGGAGAAGGGAGGGCACTGAAGGACAGAGAGGGGTCAAAAGGCAACCACAAAACAGACAGCTGATACAATAGAGCCCAAAGCAGCAAGAAAAGTGCATACCGAGACTTGAAGTCCTTGGGCCCAAAATGCCAAGTAGCCCTGACTATGTTCAACAGGCAGCTTTAATGGCATGCTTAATTAATTCATTCTTCACCCCCTATCCATACACATTTCACTGAGAGTCAAATCCCAAATTTCTACAATCCCCAAAATCTACGAATTCCTACAGTCTCTGAGCAGACAGAGATCTGCTTGTCCCTCCCCTCTAAGAATCAAATACCTGCCCTTGTCCTGAAAAGCCTGCCCAGACCACCTTCCAGACCCAACTCCACTCATTCTGTCAACTCACACAGGATCCTGGGCTTTGGGCCTCTGCTTTTAAGTAAAGGGAGAGACTAAACTCACTGCTTCCTGAGTAAGGATTCCTGCAGCCCTTTCTTCTACCCAGACCTCAAGCTCATAAGGTAGATGATGCTGGGACAGGGCATCTTAGGCAACCAGCACTCCACTGAATCAGACAGCTGTGAGCCTTCTCACTCAAGTATATGTAGTAGGCAGACAAGAGATAAATATGAGATTTTACTCAATAAAAGAAAAGAGGAAAAAAGGTGCCACGAGCAAAGTCAATGCCTTGTTGCTGGCAGGGAACCAGAACAGCAGTAACTAGGCCAAATTTTACAGGACTACCACCAACCTCTCCAATGTCCCACTTTTATAGGAATGGGCAGCTCCAGCCACATTCCCCAAGGATGGTAACCAGAAAGCCCTCCCCACAGAGAGATGGCCCACTGGGGCCCCAGCTCAGGCTCTTCAAAACACGGCAGCTACAGGTCACGAGGCTCCAGCAGAGACGTCTGAAACTCTTCAAGAAGGGTTTCATGGTCATGGGGACGGATCCAGCTCAAACAGGTTTCTAGGTACAGGGGCAGAGACCTAGAGAGCAAAAAGGGTGAGGCCTAAGGATAAAGGATAGGCCAAAGGTTGAGCAGCCATTCCCTCCCTTTCATTCACCACCTCCCCCAATAGTTCCAAAGACTCCAGGACACCAACTGCCTCTCAGCCCCAAGATAGCAAATCTCAGTCTCACCATGTAGCATTCTCCTGTGGCAACTTAGTTTGGGCCTCCAACCTCCACCAGAGAGCAGTGGCCTCATCCCTCCGATCCAGCCTCCTCAGAGTCTGAAGCAGGTGAAAGGAAGCATCTTGATTACCTGTAGCCCCACCCCGGAGTACAGAGCCTTAGAACTTGACATAGCCTTAAGCATCATTTTATAAAAGGGGAAACTGAGGCCTAGAGTGAGGAAGTGTCTTGCCTACACACATGGAACCAGGAGTAGATCATTCCCAACCATTCCTATCCCTGGGCACTGCCTGCACAGGACAAAGGGCTCAGCTGACCCTCTTCCTGCCAAGCACGCTCCCAGCACAGTTATGGTCTTCATATCCGAAGACACTGGGAAGACTGGGAACTCCTGAGAGGCCTTCATACACACTTGTATATATCTGGTATAAGTCTGCACCCTTTGGTATATCCCTAGACATATACAGCACAACCCCATTCACCCCTCCTATCTGGCAATGTCACTCTTACACTAATCCCCAAGTACCACCCCCATGGGCCTCTCTATTACTGTGTATACATGTCATGCAAGTATACATACCTGGGCACATCTGCACACTGAGGAGGAAGTCCTGTAGGGCTTTGGTATCCTGGCCACTGGCCACCCATCCTAGTCCACGACTAATCAAGGCAGCTGCCCGAAGCTGTTGTAGTGCCACATCTGACGTGCACCCCTGATCACAGTTGGAAGCAGGTCCTGAGGACCACACCCAAAATCAAGAATTGTATTCCCAGTCACACAGTCACCAAAACCCCTGGTCCCCCTTGATCTCTTCTTGTGTCTAGAGTCCCTTTCTCTTAAATCTCCTGGTGGACTGAGACACATGGAAAGGGACAGACATCCACCACCACCACTTCCAGGAGGGAAGAGGATAAGTGAGAGTCACCTTGTTAAACAAAGATAACAAAGATCACCTTGTTCTTTGTCCTTATGTGTGGCCCGGAAGAGCAGCTCAAGGCACCTGAAATGAGACATGGAGCAGAGGTGAAGAGGAGTCACCCTCAGAAACTCTAGGGTGAGTAGGTAAGAATGGAGCTCACCTTCTCAGGTCCCAATCAGAAAATTTCCCCACCCCACTTCCCCTAGGGCCCTGGTTGGCTTCCTGGCTCACCGGCTAAATTCACTAATTGCCTCTTTTTGGGCCCCCAGCTGCACCCAGGCATGGCCCTGAAGCAGATAGGTGGCAGAGACCCACGGTGGGCAGTGTGGTGACTCCTTGGTTCCTTTTCTGGCATCTCCCCACAGCTGGGGCATCTTGGGAAGCAGCGACGACATGCGGCTGAGCAGCTCCTCACATACAGTCAAAGCATCCTGGGCCCGGCCTGCCTGGATCAGTGCTGCTGCTGCCTCCAAGAACATCTCAGGCATACAGGGCCCTGGGGGGCAAGGGGGTGGGGAAAACTGGGGTGGGAGGAGGATGTAGTGACTTGAAGAGACATGAGCCACCTTCAACCTCTTCACAGGCTCTGGTACCACGCATAGACCACCCACTGCTTGCTGCCCTGGACCCCTTGCTCTGGGAACCTTCCCAGTCTGGCCTCCCAGATTAGACAGAGAAGAGCAGAGGGAAGAAACAGAAAACAGCAGTCCTGCTCTACTCCAAAGGAGACTCTAACCCTCCCACCCCACTGCAGAGAACCTTGAAGAATACTCACCTTTGGCTCTGAGCCATCGAGCAACAGGGCCAACAGGTCCAAGTAATGCTCTGCAGCGTCCTCTGCCCTGAGGAGTCATAGCCCATGAGCCTCACCTTAGGCCCTAGCATGGCCCTCCAAAGGCTCTTAGCTAACAAAGGGATGCTTAAGGGCCCTGGGGAGTGGGAAGGGCGGGGTCTGAGGGCTCCAACTCTGACTCAGTATGGATCTACCCTCCTTACAGAATGGATTTGGGAGGAGACTACAGAGTTTTAAAGACACGGGAGGTTAGTGTCTGGGTGAAGAGTCCTCAGTTCAGGTCCAGCGGCAGGGCAGGGGGCTGAGGAGTAGGGACCTATGTCCTGCCATTGACTTGTCCATCACCCCCTGACTTTCAAAAATAGAAGCAGAGTTACACCCCAGGGGAGGCATCAGAAATGGGAAGAGCTCAGGTAAGCAAGGCAGTGGAACCTCACCTTCCCGTCTGTAGGCATCGGCTTGCTAGCAGGTACTTGGCCTGGCTCTGTGTGCCAGAGTGAAAGGGCAAGGCTGGGTCAGGTGGCGGGAGTAGCAACTCAACCTCAATGAGAAGCTGGGGGGCTTCAGAACTGTGAGGGATACTCAAGGCCTAAAAGGGACAAAAAGAAGAAAGTATATCTATAATCTCTGGGAGCCACACTTCCTTCTACTTATACCTTGACTAGTCACCCCATCACAAGCATCTCACCAATCCCTGTATCTTCCCCTGGCATAGTTCCTTACCTCAACCAGCAGCTCCAGACTCTCCAGCTCTGCTGCTGTGTTCCCCAGTTGCCGATATAACCTAGAGGCCTCCAGAAGTGGGGGACCCCAAGTTGATCCCCCTTTTAGGGCTGAAACCAAGTACAGCAGGGCTTTCTGTGGACTGCCCTAGAGGGGTGAGAGGATACAAACCTCAGGTACCCTCCCAAAGGAGAAAGCTGTCCATAATGCCCATGGTTTCCCCAACCCACCCTAGGACTGTCTTTACCATCTTACGGAGACAGGTCCCCAGGGCCGTGTACACCTGGACCAACACAGGCTGTGGACATAGACCTGAGGCCGCTTCTTGCAGGCTGCTCAGTGCCCTGGACAGCCTCCCTGTGATCAGCTCCTGGAGGCCTGAGGGCAACAGGGTATGAGCTTAGAGAGACCATAGGACAGGAGGTATGAAAGGGAAGCTCCACTGAGACGAATGGGACATGACAGGAAAGGTGTGAGCCAAAGGACCCTTTAAGACAGAGAGTGGGGAGGAAGGATAAATTAGATCGCTAGCTGACCTTGGCGATAGGCAGATGCTGTCAGAAGGACATCCCTCAAGTCCCGGGCATCCTGCAGGGTTAATGGGGCATCTGACTCCTCAGCTGGGAGGTTCCAAGTTTTTAGAAGCAGCAGCAAATCCTCAGAGGTCCCACTCTGGGGAGAGAAGGAAAATCAGAGGCTCCAAGCTTATAACCACCCCTTCTTCTCCTACCTCAGTCTACCCTCGCTGGACCTTGAACTCAAGGGTCCTCCTGATTCCTGTTCCCTCAATTCTGAGAGAGAGATAGCTGTGGGGCAAGGATAAGGGAAGGGGAAAAAACCTGGGGCAGTGTGATCTATTCTAGTGTGCCTCCTCACTCAGTATAAGCTCATAAGGACACAGGGTAAGGACCATGTTTCAGTTACCGATGAGAAAACTGAGACTGGGAGGTGACTTCACCAAGGTAATGAGAGCCCCGACCCTATCCGAGATCATTAAACTATTTTTAAAAACACTCCCAAGGGAATCCCTCCAATGAGACACCAACCAGAGCAAGGTCACCTAAGAGTCCCTGGGAGAACTTAGGTCTTCTGACCACCAACCCAGCAGCCTTTCCAGCACAAAATGATGCTACTGCAGCTGGGAGGGGTGGGAGGAGGGAAGAGACCCTTAGATCCAGATCACTCCCCACATTACCTGGCTGCCATTCAGGGTCTGCAGCAGCAAAGTCAGGTCCCCAAGATGGTCAGTGCTCAGCCAGAGAGCAGCCTGCAGGGCAGCCAGGTGGTGAAGGGCAGGGAGCAGCTCCGGCAGAAGAGAGGAAGAATGGAGGACGGAGTCCCACAGCCCACTGAGCCCACGTTCCAGCCTGGGCTCCAGCTGCTCCTGGGTCTCCAGCACTGTAGAGTACACACATATACAACTCAGATGGGACTTCATCTCTGGCTTTCTCTTTCTGCAGGAGCCCAAAGGTCACAAAGGTGCTCCTGGTCTGAGAAGCACATGGAGGATCAGAAAAGGGCCTGTCTGTCTGTAGAGGTGACAGGTTATGTTGCTCCTCCCATTCACCTTGCAAGGACTTAAACCCAAACTGAGGCTGGCAGGGGCCTGGAAGGCAATCTCTGGCCCTCACCTCTTTCTAGGCCCTGTTGGATATCATGTGCCTGGTCCTCAGTGAAACCCTGGGCCAGGCTCGCCCTCAGGGTAATAAAGTTGCAGATGACGATCAATTCCAAGGGGAGAACAGGAACAGCCGCAGGGAGCCCTGGAGCAACAAATGCTGATCTCACAGACGGCTCCTGGGTAAAGGATTCCCAAAATAAGATCCCACCCCAGAGATCACCCCACCCCAACCAAAATGGTCTCAATAAAGAACCCACCCTTTGGACAGAGAGTTTCGAAAGGGCAGAAAGTTCTCCCAATTAGACCATCCTGGAAACCATTTCTTCGAATGCTGTCGCGCGCGCGCGCGTGTGTCTGTGTGTGTGTAAGGAAAAGAAAAATTCCCCTGTGTGTGTGTGTGTGTGTAAGGAAGAGAAAGATTCCCCTGTACAAATACGATTCCACTCCAGTCCTGTCTGTACCGTAAACGGGACTCTCTGCCCCTTGAGTAATCACCTCAATCCCAGAAATGCAGAAGAGGAATTGGTCTCTAGCTGTGGCGGAGAACTGACCATCCTGGGAAAGACCCTGCTTACCCTGCAGACAATGGAGAAGTTCCCGGAGCCCTTCCAGTGCATCTTGAGCCAACTGCTGTCGCCTCAGAGACAGACCCTGAGCCACCTGCCAAATGTGGGATGGGGTGTCACCGACGATCAGCCCTTACCCCTCCGATTGCAATAAGGGGTGTCCTTCTCCAGTCATTTCTGGCTCCTAGGGGAAGGTCAAGCTCATCCCCTCCCCATCGCGAGAGTCCCAGCAACCGCGTTACCTTGGCCTGTCGAACTAGCTGATCATTCCTTTCCCTCCACAGGTCCAGGCAGCTGGCGTGTGGTGCTGAGGAGCCCAGAGGGGTCTCGTGGGACATGGTGGCCGAGGGGGCTGCTGAAGGGTAAGCCCGGCCCCGCCGGAGCCCGCAGCCGAGCGGGGAGGAGTCCGTGCACTTCCGCATCCTGCCGCCGGTCCTTGGCTCCCCTCGAGGCCCCGGCCGGACGGCCTGCCCCTTCCGGGACAAACGGACCCTCCCCTCGCCGCCCGCCCACGCTTCCGCCGACGTCGCTTCCGCCAGCGCCTCGGGTTGGCTGGGCCGGCATAACTCTGGGCTGCGGTTGGTCGTCTTTAAGGGTTAGTCCCCGCGGGAGATACAGGGAAGAAACGAGCCTGGACCCGACCCGAGGGGGAGGCCCACGCGAGCCGGAGGCGAGGGCGAGTCAGTGGGGAGCTCGTGCTGCTCGCCGTTCCGCCTTCGCGGAGGCCGCGGCCTCGAGAGACCGTCCGGGTACCACAACCCGCGCTCAGCCCGCCGTCGCAGCCACACCCCACGTCTGTCTATGCCCCCGCGGGGGCGGGCCGCGGTGCGTGCTGGGAGCTGTAGTACCGCCGCCCCACGGAGTCCATCCCCGGCAGAAAGTGTCTCCCGGAGGCCCTCGGTAATCAGCTCTAATCAGAGACCCTTGGTAATCAGAGACCAAGGCTCTGGGTCATCAGCCTGTCTTTTCTCTGCTCACCGTGGAGCACCAACACGCACGCCGTAGTCTGCTCAACCCACGCAGCCTGACTGCTGGCAGCACGGCCCTGTGCTGTGCAGCCTGCACTGCTCACAGGTACCTGTCCAATCCTTCCAACAAATGGAGCTAGGAGAATTGGATATCCATAAGCAAAAAACAACAAAAATGCTGCGACCCTTACCATACATAAAATCAACTCAAAATGGATAAGCTGAACTTCATTAAAATTAAAAACTCTTGTGCTACAAAGACATCATCAAGAAAATTCAAAGAAAAGTCTCAAAGTGGGAAAAATTATTTGCAAATTATATATCTCATAATGGACTCGTATCCACATTGTGTAATTCTCAAAGCTCAATAGTAAAAACATTTTGTAAAACCATTTTAAGGGCCGGCTCCGTGGCTTAGTGGTTAAGTGGGCACGCTCTGCTGCTGGCGGCCCAGGTTCGGACCCCGGGCACGCACCGAACCACTGCTTCTCCGGCCATGCTGAGGCCATGTCCCACATACAGCAACTAGAAGAATGTGCAGCTATGACATGCAACTATCTACTGGCGCTTTGGGGGAAAAATAAATAAAATTGTTAAAAAAAAACCATTTTAAGATGGGCAGAAAAATATGAATAGACATTTTACCAAAAAAGATACACAAATGACTAAGAAGCACATAAAAAGATGCTCAACATATTAGCCATTAGGGAAATGCAAATTAAAACCATGAGATATCACTATGCACATACGAATGATTACAATAAAAAACACAGATAATACCAAATGTTGGTGAGGATGTGGAGAAACTGGAACTCTCATACATTGCTGGTGGGAATATAAAATAGTACAGTTACTTTGGAAACCAGTTTGGCAGTTTCTTAAAAAGTTAATCATAAACTTACCTTATGAATCAGCAATTCCACTCCAAGGAATCCTCCCAAGAGAAATTAGAACATATGTCTACACCAACACTTGTATGCAAATGCTCATAGCAGCTACAAAAATATTCATAATAGTTAACACTGAAAACAATCCAAATGTCCATCAGTTGATCACAGCAATACAATGGAATATGACTCAGCAATAAAAAGGGGCAAAAAAAAAAATGAATAAAGGCTTTTCAAACAACAAAAATCAAAAGGGGCAAAAAGTGACACATGCATCAACACAGATGAACTTCAAAGACATTATTCTATGTCAAAGAAGCCAGATCAAAAGACCACATATTCCATGATTCCAATTATATGAAATATGCAGAAAAGACAAATCTATAAAGACAGAAAACAGATCAGTGGCCTGGGGTGAGATTGGGAATTGATTATAAACAACGTGTAGGGAATTTGTGGGAGTGATGAAAATTTTCTAAAACCAAATTGTGGCATTTGACAATACTTTCTTGCATAAGATACCAAAAGCACAAACAACAAAAGAAAAAATAGGTTGAATTGGACTTCATCAAAATTTTAAAATTTTGTGCTTCAAAGGACACTATCAAGAAAATGAAAAGACAACCCAAAGAATGGATAAAATACTTGCAAATCATATATCTGATAAGAGAATTTATATCTAGACTATAAACAATGCTTATGTGGAAATTAATAAAAGAAACCTTAACCAAATTGGAGTCGGGAAGGCCTGTAGGGGGAGCTCTCACTCCCTGTCACACATCATCAATTACACCAAACAGGAAGAGATGGAAGCTTGCATCTTGGACAGGAAGTAAAACTACTCTACTAGGAAGGAAGATTTCTCTCCCCACCCCATCAACAGCCCAGCCAATGAGAAATGCTGCAGCTCAGCCAATGAGAAGCTGCTGCCACCCTGAACTATTATTTTTCTCCCAATGGACTTTCCTTTGGGAGAAGGACAGCCCCTCCCTACTCCCTCTTTTTCTCTATAAAAGCAAGATCCCCTCCTTTGTTTTCCAGATTTGCCTATAATTCATAGGCAATAGCATGCACATCCCAAACTACAATTCTTTTGGCTATTCCCAAGTAAACTCATTTTGAGGGTAAAATGGGCGAATTTGCTCTTTAGGTTGACACTTGTAACTCAACAATAAAAAGACAACCCAGGGCTGGCCCCATGGCGTAGCAGTTAAGTGTGAGCGCTCTGCTGCTGGCAGCCCAGGTTCAGATCCCGGGCACGCACTGACACACCGCCTGTCAGGCCATGCTGTGGCGGTATCCCATATAAAGTAGAGGAAGATGGGCACGGATGTTAGCTCAGGGCCAGTCTTTCTCACTGTGGGGGAAGAGGGAGAATCTCCCTCTGCCCTTTCCCTTAAGGTTCTTCTGGCTGGCCAAATAATCTTCCAGCCAGAGAAGGCAACTTGCCAGCCAGTGTGGCTCCTGGCGACTATGCCAAAACTGTGGGGGAAGAGGGAGAATCTCCCTCTGCCCTTTCCCTTAAGGTTCTCCCGGCTGGCTCGCCAAAACTGTCGGGGGAAGAGGGAGAATCTCCCACTGCCCTTTCCCTTAAGGTTCTTCTGGCTGGCCAAATAATCAATAAGACAGGTTAGCAGGAGAAAATAATACCAAGTTTAATAACATGTATACATGGGAGAAAGCAGGGACACTGCGTTTCTCAACACAATAGCAGAAATTCTCATCTTAAATATCATTTTCAGCCAATGACAAAGGAGGATTTTGGGGGTGGGGGGAGTCAGTTACA